GGCAGACTGTTCACAAACTCTCCCTCTCTACTCGTTGGTGGCAAAAACTGTACCTTCACAAAACTCCCCCCCCAAAAAAAAAAAAAAAAAAAAATAACAAATGTCATCAACACAATTGCTTTTCTGGTTTTAGGGAATGCTTTACATGAGAACTTGAAAGAGGGACATGTGTTTAGTCAGCAGCGTAAGGAGACAAGTGAGCTAAATCGCCCAGCTCCAGTTTTCACACGTGTGTGTTGACACCCAACGGCAGCATGCAGAGGTACATGCACACACACAAAGTAAGTCATAAATCAGGTCATGTGCGTGTCATGTCCGGGATAGGATGTGAATTGAACTCTATTTACTCTGAGCAACGTGAAAAGTATTTATGTTAAGAAAACAGCATGTGAAAACTATTCATTACTCACATTGTAGACTTTTTCAAAAATAGTGTTATTTAAAATGTTATGAATTAATAAATAATGTAGCTGCACTAATGATAACTTCCGTGTTTTTGAGTCTCGTTGATTCCAGTCAGCAGTTTTTTTTAATTTATTTTTATTTTTTATGTGGTTCTCAAACTCACTTTTGTATATCCCACCTAAAAAAAAAAAATTGCTCTCTCAGAACTGTACTACCAGTACATGCACACACACAAAGTAAGTCATAAATCAGGTCATGTGCGTGTCATGTCCGGGATAGGATGTGAATTGAACTCTATTTACTCTGAGCAACGTGAAAAGTATTTATGTTAAGAAAACAGCATGTGAAAACTATTCATTACTCACATTGTAGACTTTTTCAAAAATAGTGTTATTTAAAATGTTATGAATTAATAAATAATGTAGCTGCACTAATGATAACTTCCGTGTTTTTGAGTCTCGTTGATTCCAGTCAGCAGTTTTTTTTAATTTATTTTTATTTTTTATGTGGTTCTCAAACTCACTTTTGTATATCCCACCTAAAAAAAAAAATTGCTCTCTAAGAACTGTACTACCATCATGACCAACATTAAATTCTTTATATTTAATAGTGGAAGCCACTCGGACACAAACACAGCGAGCAGATCGAGGAAAACACCACTTAAAAAGCCATTCTGTTAAAGTTAAATACAACTGAGCTGCATTGAGCAAAATGTGCTGAACTGGATTAAGAACAAACCCCCTGTGACATTCATTGCGCATAGTTTGAGCATTTAATTGAATGATTCTTTCATGTCCAACGATGGGGGCCGCGTACCACATTTTGAGAATCGTCGTGTTACATGATGCAAGTAGGACGGTACGTTGATGGGTGGGAGTGAAGGAACGCAAAAGGAGAACTGAAACAAGACGTTTGCTCGGCTGTTGTGACCCAATTTCCTTTCAAGGTGGAGACATCTTTCAGAGCTGCGACGTTTCCGCTTTGAAAACTGTTCGCATCCTGAGAAGCGCATCGCAAATCATTCTCTTGTTTGCCTGTCTCTTGAATCAATCATGCGGGCTAGCAACGTACTGCGCGTGCAGTTATAACGAGCTAACTCGCTGTATGTGAACGTTTGAAGTAATTCGGTGCCTCGAGCTCAATCTACAAAGTAGCTCAAGCAACGTACCTAAAGCAATTCAGATTAATGATTACCGATACAACATAGACGATAAATACGGTAAAGTGGCGGCTTGTAAATAAAGTTAAAACTTTTTCAAAGCAGCCGCTGGTAGTTAAATTCACCAAAATGGCTCACTTAAAGTGAGCCAAAGTATTTCCAAGTGGTTCAAAATACTTTGGGTATCCAGAATAATGTAAGATAATAAATTTTATATATAGTTACGTACATTGTATTTACTTTCTGCAATAGGACATAATCAAAGTACTGTACTGGACCTCAAAAGGGCAAATATATTCAAAGGATTCAACTTAGTGATTTTTGATGAATGAATGCAGAAGGAGCTCGGTCCGCATCCGAGAAATGATAAACATGTGACTGAACATGAGCTGCTGTGTATCTGTAGTGTTCTATATTTAACCCGCCGGCCTGCTCAGTCTCTCTCGCACATACTCGACTTAAAGCAGCCGACGAGCCGCCAGCGGAATGGAGGTAAAACTCTTCTAATGTTACATCTGTCTGCTTTCGGGGCTTTTGTTTAGGCAAAGTTTGGGATTTGAGCGGTCAGAGCGACATGCACAGATGAACTGCTGCAACTGATTTCATTTGGATGCCCGTTTGTCTCCGATTTATTTTGGACTCGATATGCGAAAGGCTGACATAGCTCCTATTTGATTTTTTTGGCTCATTTTGAGCATGTTTTTTTAAGTCAAAATGAACTTACAAAAGAAAAAGTAACGCAGTTGTTTAGAAGAGTTTCATTTCAAACATTTTTAAGGCATGCACCATACATGTTAACATGAACATCAGACTACAACTGTTGATAAATAAAATTGAGTTTTGATGCATGCAGTGCTTTATTTGATGGCTTGTCCTTCTCAAACAATCAAGAAAAGACAATCCAGCATCGCGAAGCGCTTTAATGTGGACTCTTTCAATTTCATTGATGGGAACGGGACCGCCCAGCACGGTGAAGGGCTTCAATAGACTCATTTCATTTCAGTGATCGGGCAGAGACCATCCAGCGTCGTTACATGCTTTAATGCGGACTACTTCGATTTCACTGATTGAGAAGAAACAGTCTTTCCATTGTGAAGAACTTTAATTTGGGCTCTGCGTTTGAGCGATCCAGATCAGACCATCCACTGTAGCGGAGTGCTTTAATGTGAACTCTTTCAATCGCTGTCATCTGGAAGAGATCTTCCAGCGACGACTCTTTCCATTCCAATCATAGAGAAGACAGCATCCGGTGTCCTGAAGTACTTTAATGCGGGTTCTTTCCCTTCTCGCAACCATAAAAATTGACTATTTCAATTTGAGTGTTTGGGAAGAGACCATTCGGTATTTTGAAGTGGTTAAATCAAGGACTCTTCCAATTGCAGTGATCAAAAAGAGACCATGCAGCATCGTGAAGCGCTTTAATACGCACCCTTTGAATTCCGTGGATGTTAAAACTGGACGGTGATCTACTGAAATTCGAAAGCACTTTGTTTTCCAATCCTCTCAGAAATAGGATGATTAGTTCTCGGTTGTAATCAACAGCTTCCGTTGTAGTCGCAGACTTTTAATTCTTATGTTGACTGGTAGCACAGGAGAGAAGCAAAAGTGAACTGAATCCCCCGCTGTGAATGAATCAATCAGAGCAACAGAAGATTTCTGCTAAGCTCGTCAGTAATTTGTGTATTGAACTGATGTTATTGTGAGTCGTTCTGCGCCGCGATGTGATGAAATAGTGAGCTGCGGAGCTGACTGACTTCCTGCAAGCTCTACGTGGGACACACAGCTCGTGTTGGCCACAGCGATAGAAAAAGATATGCTTTTAAAGTAGTTGCTCAAATAGTGCCAGTTTTCTTCAACTTATTATTTTTTTTTCCTTCCCCAAACAGACCATACGAGGGCAAACAAATCAGTGATTGGGTGAAGTGGCTGCTGAAGTTGCAGGTTTTGCCAAAATGCAGGAAGGACATGGACGAGAAAATGAGGTAAAGATTTTGACTACTTTCTTCAAAATCTGTTTCTTCATGACCCATATTAGAGTGAAAGGATAAAGCTATTCAACTATCGTTGCTGTACATGCACTTGCCTTTAGCGATGATCATTTTGATATTGAGACCACGTGATTGTTTACATCGAAAAAGTTGTGTCTTGAAAAAAGTGCAGTTTTTAGTTGTCACACTAACCTCTAACCTCCTCTGGCTTTCTTGCTGCAATATCGCTGTCAGCCACTACAGGGCGCTAGTCAGGCTAAAGTCGCTTTCTGAGCACTTTGGACTCCAACACTGTGTGAAATAATGAGAATTGATTGAAATGGGACTCAGAACACGGGAAACAAATATTTACAGTTTACCTTTTTATCTTAAGCAAATTTGGGAACTAGATGCCAGGAATCACTCCGAGTCGCTCGAACATGCACTACACACAGAAAGAGGAAGTGGTTTAACGGTTGAGGGTTGTTGTTTTTTCAGGGCTTTTTGTGTTTTTGTTTTTTTTTTTTGCGATCAGATTACAAATTGACTCCATGCCAAGTAGTTATTTAAATGTGTCCTCTGTGTACAAGTTGGTCAATGTGACCTCACAAAAATAGAGAATGCGTATCTGCGTGTGTGTGTGTGTGTGTGTGTGTGCGTGCGTGTGTGAGTACGTGTGTGTGTTCGCGCACATGTATTTCCAGGCTGTGTGATGATTTCATTATGCGTTGAATGTGAGCAATGCGAGACCTTCGACTGGAATTGACACGGATCAACCGCATGTTGACAGCTGTGCGCGCGCGCGTGTGTGTGTGTGTGTGGGGGGGGGGTGTCTGTGTGTGTACACACGTTCCCAAAATGTTGCGTAAAAGATTTCATCTCGTAACTTGCCTCCCTTCGTTCACGCCCCCTCAGGAGCAGACGGCGTCACGGCCCTCTGTGGCTGAACTTGCCGGAAGGTTCAAAGGTTCCTCTCCTCCCCCTGCCAGCGAGACGGTGAGTTTGGGAAACATCCGTCGGAGCATCACAGTGCCTCTAAATACCACGCTCATTAAATGCAGCAGGCGAGGGGTTGACGCAGGGTACACACATGCCGACAATCGGGCCAAATTTGAGCATTTCCACCGAGCAACGTCGGCAATTGTCACTTTGTAATTATTCGCTGAAATCAGAATTCAGTTCGTTGCTATGCATACAGCCTTTTTACACTTTTTAAAAATCCATTCCGGTACATTTTTTTGAAAGAACCGTTATGTTGTATTTAACTTTTAAGTACAGTACAATACAATTGTATATGCGCTCAAATATATAATTACAATTTTCATTGAACTGTAATATGCAATACATTTTAATAGAAGTACCGTTTTTTTTCTTTTCCTATATTTAAGCATTTTTTCCAATAATAATATTTTAAATGATACAAAAAAAAGTTGCTTTTTTTTTTCTTTTTCTTTCAACACTTGGGCCCAGTCGCTACTCTATATTCCTCTTGGTCATTATGGTGGTGCTTGGGGCGCTCTGTATTTTAGCTACTTGGTGTGAAAGGTTTGAGAACCGCCGTCACACTGGAAACATCTTTCAGGAAAAGCCGGTCAGACGCCGACCTCCTCGCTCCTTACAACTGCCTAAATCCCACGGAGACGAGCATGAGGTGAGAAGAGCGTTCATACATCTCAATTCTTGCAGGTGGAATTCATGTTATGCTGTATTGTGGGAGTGTGTGACCAAAAAAAAAGGGGGTGTGGTCGATTTTTGCCAATTTTCAGCCAGTTAAATCGGCCAGTTTATCGACTGGTATATTTTATACCTCAGACTATAATACATTTGAATATAAAATGAATGTTTATGTTTGTCAGAGGCCTTCAGGTGTGACTTCTCCTGTTAAAGCCAAGAGGAACTCCGCCCTGATTGAGAAGCTTCAGGTGGGTCCACGCTGCTCACCCTGCACTCCATCATGACGGCGATGACATCATCACACTTCCTCTCCCAGGCCAACCTGGCTCTGTCCCCCGCCAATCTGCTGCCCTCCCCCAAAAGCCCCGGCTTCAGGCTGCTACCGCCCTTCAGTCCGCCGTCTTCGCCCAGCCCCACTGCGGGGACCCCCTCGCCCACGCTGACGTCTCCAAGCTCCATTTCTACGTCTTTGGTGACCGAGGAGGAGGGGCCGGTGTCATTTGAAGCCCCTCCCACAGCGGCGGAGGGATCCCTCTTGATGAACGTGAACAAGGTCGGCCAGATAGTCGCTGTTTTTTTCTCCGTTAGTTGATCAGTGAGATTTCTGCTGATTGCAATAATTCACCCGTTGTTAATGATCGAGGTTATTGAAGAGGTTCTAATGGGTTGTCCTCTAGAGCCGAGCTCGCCACTCTCTCAGGCGACGCCCTCCGTCCCGCCGCCACAGGAAGTCCAGCAACGGAGAGGAAGTGGCCGCGGCCGGGGAGGAGACAGACACACCCACGAGCCAACCGGATCAGAAAACAACACAAGGAGGAGGCGGGGATGTCGTCGGCGATGATAATAGAAATCATTTGAAGGAGGACAAATCGGAAGAAACTCCGAAAGAAGGCCAGATCAATCGTGACATTCATCTCAGGGGAGAAGAAGAAAATAAGAAGCAGGATGATGGAGAGGAGAAGGAGACTCAAGATGGAGTCATGGGGGAGGGAGAGAACCAAGAGACAACCTCAGAAGAATCTCCAAACAACAACAAAGATGAAGACAAAAGTCACGTGAGTTGCATGAAAGCTTTTTAGGATATTTTCCTTTCTTTTGCTCATGAAGGAAATGTTGTCTGTCCTACAGGGTTCCACGTGGCAGAGTTGATGAGAAGTTGAACAAGGTTCCGGTTTCTGAGCCACTCCAAGAGGTCTTGGTTTGGAAGCGTTGTGGGAGCAGAGACCTCCAAAAGAGAGCGGACAAAACACTTTTCCATCGAGAACCTGAAACGTTGCCGCATCAGAGCTGGCATTGAGCCGCCTTTGTTTTGAAAGACGGCATTGAGACAATGAGATAGAGACTCTTACTTTCAGTTCATCCAAAAAAACCCAAAAAACAATCGCACGGAATTGAACCCCTTTTTCCTCTTTTAACAATCAATCCCATTTCCTTGTCCCTGCATCTGTCAGAGTTGTTATCGCATAAAACTACACATTTGACAACATATGGACTTGGCTCACTGTCTTCCTGATACACCGATATCAGACAGCATTAGTTGCGCCGGTTTTCGCACTCGGGGACTCAAATTAGCCATCTCCTACCAAACAGCCTCCCAATGCACTGTGGAACAAATATAGAAGGCGGCGAACAATTTGACCAAAAATAAATCCAGAGTCTGAAACGCCCCCCACCCCTCCCCCATCCCAAACGCCATGACAGAAAGTTGCTGTTTCACTATTTAAATCATCGACATTCAGCAGTTCTGATGGCTTTGAACATCTTTCGGTGACAAGAGAATTTGCCCAAAGTTGGCACCCATCAGCCACCTTTAATCCTCATGAAAGTTAATTTAAGGAAAGGACCAGAAGGGAAACCTTGTCCTTTCAACCGTGGGTATAATCTCATTTTGATAAGAGCTCTGATCTAACGTTCAGTCACAAATAAACTCACCGGTGACTTACCGCATCGATTATTCAAACAATAATTCGTGGCTCCTGTCTACGCTCAGTTTCACATTTGCGTTTTGCTGGCGACGACAACGTTTCGACTTATTTAGAGAGCTGTTGAGCGGTGCAAAGCAAAAGTAATTGGCAAGATGAAAAGAGTTACCTCGATTTCTGATTGGGGGAGTCTACAATATGTCTTCTGTGTCATCACCTCTTGGATTAAAGGTGGTGACACCGAGCTCTAGTTACCTTGTATCAACTTTGTGGATGTCCACGACCCAAATAAATCTTTCATGACGTAATGCATCGCTGTGATAAACTGCCGACTCACGAGGGCATCTAGTGGGGGCAGCCCAGTGGTGGGGGTTGGGTGGGTGGGGGAAACCTCTCCATCTGACCCAGGTGAGAATGTTATATAACCAGGACTGGAACAGGGGAAAAGATCAGGAGACCGCAGCATGGCGGCCTGATCCCATTAGAGGTTTTATTTCATTAGCTTTCTTTAGTCTCGCTCCAAGACCTAAGAGGGTTACAGCGTCCTAAAGTTTGCTCTCTGCCTGCACCATCACTCATGTGGGGCCATTCGTGCAACTAGGATCTTCCTGGCCCCACCGCCATGGAGTTCTTTAGTATTTTCCCCTAAAAAAAAAAAAAAAAATCGAACCCCAGCAGCTAGATTTGGAGCTAGACTGTTTGGAGCCCGCTAAAATCTTCGACAAAAGACACTTTCGGACACTCTTTGTGCTCTTCTCCTTTTGGGTTGGATGATGGGCAATCACGGCTCCAACCTGGATGACATCCTCGCCGAGGACATGCACCACTGGTACAACAAGTTCATGCGAGATTCGCCGTCGGGTCTCATCACATTGTTCGAACTGAAGACCATCCTGGGACTGAAAGGTATGACCGAGAACGCCAACAGCTACGTGGACCAGGTTTTCTTCACTTTCGACATGGATGGGGTGAGCCAATCATACTTTAACTTTGACAGATCCTGTTTAGCCGTGTAAGGCCGCATGAAATCGGGAAGGCAGATATCGTGGGCAGTGTACTGTCTTCATTTGCATTAATACCAAATACTTTTGCCATCCCAAATCACAAAGTGTTTCAAACAGAATCTTTTTGTCAGCTCGCTGGCTAATTGGCTTAAAAAGTGATAGCGTGCACAGCCATTATCCTGGCAATGAGCCGATTGGATTCAGGGTCAAGATGAGGGTGATTAAGGGCCATCCGGGTTCAGTGAGTACAAAGAAGGATGACCAGTTCTTGTTCAGATGATGTCTTTTTTTTGGTGGGATACCAGGAAATCACACTTTCTCACCTTACAGGATGGTTATATCGACTTTGTGGAATACATCGCTGCCATCAGTTTGATGCTGAAGGGGGAAATCAACCAGAAGCTGAAGTGGTACTTCAAACTCTTTGACCAGGATGGAAACGGAAAAATTGACAAGGAAGAGTTGGAGACGATCTTCTCGGTAATTAAGGTGCACAATACCATGCAGAAACTTTACCCTTGATGGGAAAACAAACATTTTATTATGTATTGTAGAAAAGAACTCCAAATTTGGAAATACATGCTTTTTGTTGAACACACTGCACCGATTCAGATTTGATGTTCAGTCATAAAAATGTTAATATTGTGGTTCTTTTCTTTTTTCTCATAAAAAAACAAAACAAAAAACATATTTTGCCGCCACTTTCCGATAACTAGAAATGTCTCAAAACACACGGTTTTGGCTAGACAAAGACTAACACTGTCAAAAGAACTAAATTCAAATTTATTTTGGAAGTGTGAGTAAGGCTCGTGCTAATCTGCTGAATCAGATCAATGCATCAGGAAGTGGCATGAACTGGCTCCACTGACCCTGACCTAGTTTTGACAGTCAGGCTTAAACTCCCCCAACCCTCCGATGAGGATTCTAGTCGGTGGTGGAACATTTAAACATTTAATTATAAATCTGGACAGTAACCTGGAAGATTATTTTTGACGATAAATTGAAAAACGTTTGGTGTTAACGTGAGCATTTAGACTGACAAAGAAACATTTATTAGGAAACGTGGGAATAATAATAATAATAATTATCATCATCATGATCATCGTTGTCAGTATTATTATTATTATTATTATTATTAAATAATCTGTGAGGGCGAGTGTTCGCTACTGTGTCTTTGTCTCCCCCTACAGGCCATCCAGGATATCACACGAAACAGAGACATTGACCCTGAAGAGATCGTCACACTCATATTCGAGAGAATCGACGTGAAGGGGGAAGGTAAAGTACGCAAAAAAAAAAAAAAAAGAGAGAGATTGATGCTTTTCCTGCTACTATGCTAAGCTCTACCTACCGAACACATTCGTGCAGGTGAGTTGACCCTGGAGGAGTTCATCGAGGGTGCCAAAGACCACCAAGACATCATGGACATGCTGAAGAACTTGATGGACTTGACGCCGGTGTTGCTCATCATTGTGCAGGGTATCAGGTCGTGAGCGGCGAGGCTGCCCGAAAAGCAAAACAAAAACTGTGGGGGGGGGAAAAAGACCTGTCAACACCCAGAAGGCTTGTCTGTGACGGAACATTGTCTCAGGTGAACAGGTGGACAGAAAACTTCACTCCTGACATCTCATTTTCACAAATATACAATTGCGAACTCCCCAAAAAATATCTGAGAGTTATGGTGAATTCTCTCATTCCCATTTTAAAGTTTATCCTAAAATTAACGTTTGAATCGACTTTACAGAGTCAGGCCAGTGATTTAGCGCCTCTATCTTGACTGAAATTCAGAAAAAAAATCTAAACTAGCATTTTAATTTCTTAATGGCTTTAGTTCTTCAGAGCCACAATCAAAGCATCTTTGAAAAGAATCAACACTGTAAAAAAAATTATGACAATGTATATTACTTTGTTTTATATAGTGTTAAAAATTGTGCCTAACACCATAAACTCTATTGATTGTCTAAACATACTTTAGATCAACAACAATCTACAAAAGGATAATTCACATGCAGATTTATGCTGACGGGCAACGTTTTTATCTCAATCTCTAAATATCTTCGGCGGCACTATTCTGCAGTGCATGCTGGGAGTCTCCTCTGGCTCAACTCGTTTGTTCTGATCCTCTTAAAAAGCTTCATCCGTTTGATTTGTAACAGTGATCATTCAGGTTTCCTTCCAACAAGTAGTCATATCTATTTGGATTCATTTTTGAAGAAAAGAAACACAAAAACGTGTCTCAGACATTTGATGTGAATAAACAGCTGAACTGATTATCATCAACATTAACCGACCATCTAATTGGGATTATAAACCTGTGCTAATCGAGAAATAGATAGCCCACCTTGTTAACACCAGCTAAGAAGTTACTAATTAATTGCTTAAAGTGGGTAGAAATGACTTAGTGAAAGTACAGTTGAACTGGTTAAAATCACTGACCTGTAAATTCAACTGGGTGGCGCAAACATGTTTAATAGTCACTTAAATTGGTTAGAATCTGTGCTATTGCTCAACTCACTGCTAAATGACAAACTGAACTGGTTGTAAAAAAAATGTACCGGTACATCAAATATCTAAGGCGCAGTGTTGGACCAAATGTTGCCGTGTGAACACCCCTTAAGAGGGAAAAATCTGTGCTGTCCTTTTAGCATCAGTGCTAAGTTTTTAAACAATCACAAGAATTGGTTTACACCAGTGCTAACTGAGTAGAACTGGTTGAAATAAGTACTAACCTGCTAACTAAACTCTGAACTTGTTGAGTTTAGTGCAAAATGGCACACTCATCGTGGAAATAGTTTAAAATGAGATCGGACCGTGCTAAGCTGCTGGCCTGCTTAGTACCTGATGGTCAAACAGGCTCGCGCCTGTACCAATGTTCATTTATGTAATTGATTTCTGACAGTGAAAGTACTGATAATAAGGTCATTGTAACTAATTAAATGTTGTGTTGCCTTACCAAAAAAAAAAATCAATGTTTCTGTTGTTGTTTTTACTCTCTTAATGATTGAAAGTTGCTTCGTTATCTAGCTCTGTCCTAAACACTGCATGAAGCTGAAGTTGCCGCCACAGTCGCATTCCACTCTATAGCATCATTTAGCTTTGTGACCCAGTGCCAGAAAAAAAAAATGGCGTTGAGGTTCTCATGTGTTTCACACTCTACATTTTGCCAGCTTTCAAATGAGACCCAGATTTGACACCCAACTCGAACAAATTTCATGAAGCTCCAGTACTGGTAAAAAATAGACCACCATTGTGTTGTCAGTTATTCATTTTAAATTCTTGATACAACTCCGGTACGTTTTTGGGGGCAAATATACTGATGAGGCATTTTTACCCGAAAAAAACGACCATGTATATAGTAAGGCGTTTTTGGCCGAAAAAACCCGACAATATATAGTAAGGCGTTTCTAGCCCCAACAAACGACCATGTATAGTAAGGCGTTTTTGGCTGAAAAAAACGACAATGTGTAGTAAGGCGTTTCTAGCCCCAAAAAACGACCATGTACAGGAAAGCGTTTTGAGACGAAAAAAACAACCATGTATAGTAAGGCGTTTTTGGCTGAAAAAAACGACCATGTATAGTAAGGCATTTTTAGCCCCAAAAAATGACCATGTACTGTATAGTAAGGCGTTTTTGGCTGAAAAAAACGACCATGTTTAGTAAGGCATTTTTAGCCGAAAAAAACAACCATGTATAGTAAGGCGTTATTGGCCGAAAAAAACGACCATGTATAGGAAGGCATTTTTAGCCCAAAAAATGACCATGTACTGTATAGTAAGGCGTTTTTAGCCGAAAAAAATGACCATGTATAGCAAGGCTCTTTTAGCCGAAAAAAACGAACATGTACCGGAAGGCATTTTTAGCCGAAAAAAAACGACCATGTAAAATAAGGCATTTTTAACCCAAAAAAATGACAATGTATAGTAAGGCATTTTTAGCCGAGAAAAACAACCATGTATAGCAAGGCGTTTTTTGACGAAAAAAAACAACCATGAATAGTCAGGCGTTTTTTGACAAAAAAAAACGACCATGTATACTAAGATGTTTTTAGCCGAAAAAAACGACCACGTACAGTAAGGCGTTTTGAACCCAAAAAACCGACCATGTAGAGTAGGGCATTTTTAGCCCAAAAAAACGACGAGGTAAAGTAAGGCATTTTTGGCCGAAAAAAACGGCCATGTGTAGTAAGGCGTTTTTGGCCGAAAAAAACGACCATGTAAAATAAGGCGTTTTTAACCAAAAAAAACGACCATGTATAGTAAGGCGTTTTTAGCCGAAAAAAAACGACCATGTATAGTAAGGC